CACTGTCATGCACACGGGAGGAAAAAACTTTAGGACAGAAGCAGCGGCATCATTTCCAGTTTGGTGTCCAGTTTCAGTGCTGTCACTCAGCAGCATCCCATGACTTCTCTGGAAAACAGGGAGGTTAACACCAGAGCCTGCCCCAAAGCRAGCAGAATTAGCTGCTCTTTGTGGATATTTTGTCGGGAGAGTCAGCTGGGAGCCTGRACAGAGACAAGGCAAGCTTTGAGTCGGGATAATTGCAAGTTGCATCGAAGCAGAGAACCAGAAGCAAGGACATAGAAAACCGAGTCTGAGATAAAGGATATCAGGGTYACACAGGAATGCAAAGATCACACTGGAAGTGACAACCGAGGAAAGTGCAGGAGGGCAGCCAGCCACAGCCCAAACCTCACCAAAAGGTCAAATCTCAGGAATACCCACAACAGATGACAGCCCAGAGTGTGCCAATAAGTAGATTAAAGTGCTAAATGTGACCCAYCCGCAGCCGGGATAGGGACGTCAGCCTAGATGGCGGGTACTTGGCAACGACCTGGGACTTGGGAATACTTTCTAGGTTAAAAACAGCACAAATTCCACTTTCCAGGAAGCGGCGGGGCCAGAGCCCCTGGCTGCAGCCACAGCTGATCCAGCACCGAGTACCTTCGGGGCCGCGGCAGGCGAGGGCCTCGGGGCGGGCGGGGGTCGGTGCAGACCCTCTGCGGCCGCTACACCGCCGACCCCGGCCCAGCGGAGCCCAGCGGAGCTCACCGGACTGAGGGCGGGCTCGGCCGGGCCTGGCGGAGCGGGAGAACGGAACGGAGCGGGTGAGGGGGCGCGGGGGGGCCCTCACGGAGAGCGCGGGAGCTCCGCGTGCCGGCGGGCGCGGGAAGGGGCACCGGGACCCCCGCCCCGCCCCCGAGCGCGCGCCAGGCCCGCCCCCGCCCCGCGCCGCCCAATCAGCGCCCGTCCCCACCGCCCGGGCTGCGCGCCGCTCGCTGCCGATAGGACCAGAGGGAGCGGCTCAGCCTTCCCATTGGCCGAAGAACTGCCAATCATACCTCGGTCCCGCCCCCCCTCGCTCCCCTCCTCCCAGGCGCCCGGGCGGCGCCAAGGACACCGGGGCGCGACCGCAGGCCCCCGGCCCGGAGCGGGCCCCGCCGCGCCCCCCGCCCCGTTCCGCCTCCAGCCCCGCTCCCTCCCCAGCCCTCCGGCCCGCCTGGGTCCGGCCCCACCGTTCGGCCCTGCCGCGGAACCCACCGGTGCGTCCTCACACCCCGCTCGTGGCCCCGGCTCTGACAGCGGCCCCGACCACCGGCCCCGCCCAGCCCCGCCTCTGCGTCATACGTCACCGCGCCCCGCCTCTTTTGCCACGCCCTTTCATAGCTGCCGATGCGCATGCGCCGTGCGGCGTAGAAC